CTTCTGACTGACCCCTGGATGGCCCCTGGATGACCTCTGAATGACCTCTGGATGACTTCTGACTGACCCCTGGATGGCCTCTGAATGACCTCTGAATGACCTCTGAATGATCTCTGGGTGACCTCTGAATGACTTCTGACTGACCCCTGGATGACCTCTGAATGACCTCTGGATGACCTCTGACTGACCCCTGGATGACCTCTGAATGACCTCTGGATGGCCTCTGAATGACCTCTGAATGACCTCTGAATGACTTCTGACTGACATCTGGATGACCTCTGAATGATTTCTGACTGACCCCTGGATGACCTCTGAATGACCTCTGGATGACCTCTGACTGACCCCTGGATGACCTCTGAATGACCTCTGGATGGCCTCTGAATGACCTCTGAATGACCTCTGAATGACTTCTGACTGACATCTGGATGACCTCTGAATGATTTCTGACTGACCCCTGGATGACCTCTGAATGACCTCTGGATGACCTCTGAATGACCTCTGAATGACCTCTGACCCAATTCTCCTCTCTCTCAGCTGAAGCAGTTTAAGGAGGATAACGCTGCTGTTGGTTTTGGTTCTGGGACTCTGGCCCTGGACCAGTCCATTGAGAGGACCCAGGCCAACATTGAGTGGATCAAAGAGAACCAGGACCAGGTTCTGAAGTGGTTCAAGGACAACTCTAGACGGGATGCTGCTGCAGTCACGTCTGTCCTCTAACAGGAAACTGAAGGTTGTTGTTCAGAGACCCGAATGTTTTCTGTTTGACTGGATTTAAAAACCTGAAAAACTCTGGGGGTTTTTTTTTTTTTGCCCCCCCCCCCCCCCAATATTTTCATTAAAAAACCTGAAAACATCAATTAAAAACAATAAACTGATTGGTTCTTGTTGTTTCTGACTTTTTTAAATAAAAGTCCAAAATAAACAAATAAAAAGATCAAAACATGAAATAAAATGGTAAAATAGGAAGAAAAGTGGAAATGATGAAAGTTTGTTGAAAAAAAAGCAACATGTTGAGTTTGTTTAATCCCAGATTAAATTAATTGATGTTGTTTTAATCTGTGGGTGATCCTGTAACTGTAGTTTATAAACTCTGTTCTTTGTTTAGTTTTTTTTTTCTCAGTTTCAGCATCTCCAGCAGATAAAACAGTTTTTGTACACAAACTGTAAAACTCTGAGCATGTTTCTGAAACAAACAAATAAAAAAATACTTTTACAGAATTTAGTTTTATTTCTCTCACTGGCACCGCGGGAGTTCCGTACATCCTGAAAAACTTTACTT